CAATACAATACAATACAATACAATACAATAAATAGAGTTGGAAGGGACCTTGGAGGTCTACTAGTCCAACCCGCTGTCTAGGCAGGAAACCCTATACCATTTCAGACAAATGGCTATCCAACATCTTCTTAAAGACTTCCAGTGTTGGGGCATTCACAACTTCTGGAGGCAATTTCTGTTCCACTTAATTGATTAATTGTTCTAACTGTCAGGAAATTTCTCCTCAGTTCTAAGTTGCTTCCCTCCATGGTTAATTTCCACCCATTGCTTCTTGTCCTGCCCTCAGGTGCCTTGGAGAATAGTTTGACTCCCTCTTCTTTGTGGCAACCCTGAGATATTGGAATATTATGAGATATTGGAGCACTGCTATCATGTCTCCCCTAGTTCTTCTTTTCATTAAACTAGACATACCCAGTACCTATTTATCTGGTTGAGGTTCATTTGCTAAGTTGTGTCTGGCTCTTTGTGATCTCATGGACCAAAGCACGCCAAGCCTCTCTGCCTTCCACTGTCTCCTGATGTTTTCCCAAACTCATGTTCATTCATCATTCTCCTTTTGCCTTCAGTATTTCCCAGCATCGGGGTCTCTTCTAACAAGTCTTGTTTTCTAATTAGGCGGGCCAAAGTATTTGAACTTCAAACTATTTACCTCAGCGCTAGCTTCACAGGTCCCTTTGCAGTGGCTTGATTCTCCTCTAGAGTTTGCATTACTGATTCCGACTGTGGCTTGGAACTATTTATTTATTTATTATCTGTCAAGCATGGATAAGATAACAGATATAAATATAAACATGATTATGAATACATGAAATGGATACGAATAAGCGGGGTTATTAGGACAGGGACGGTGGGCACGCTGGTGCGCTTATGCACACCCCTTACAGACCTCTTAGGAGTGGGGTGAAGTCAACAGACAGTTTAAGGTTAAAGTTATGGGGGCTTGGGGACGAAACCACAGAGTCAGGTAGTGCATTCCAGGTGTTGACAATTCTGTTGCTGAAGTCGTATTTTCTGCAATCGAGTTTGGAGCGGTTTACCTTAAGTTTGTCTCTATTGTGAGCTTGCTTGTTGTTGTTGTTGAAGCTGAAGTAGTCAATGACAGGTAGGACATTGTAGCAGATAATTTTATGTACTAGGTTCAGGTCAGACTGAAGGCAGGGTAGTTCTAAGTTGTCTAAGCGCAAAAATTCAAGCCTGGTGGTGTAGGGTATTCTGTTGCGAGCAGAGGAGTGGAGGACTCTTCTCGTGAAATATCTCTGGACTCATTTGATTGTATTAATGTCCGATATGCAGTGCGGGTCCCAGAAAGATGAGCTGTATTTGAGAATTGGTCTGACAAAGGTTTTGTATGCCCTAGTTGGCAGTACAAACTACCTCAATCTCTTCCTCTTTCATCTCTTGCAGATATTTATTTATTTATTTATTTATTTATTTATTTATTTATTTATTTATTAGACT